GACTGAAAGTGCAATGCGCTCGCTCAATTAGCGTCAACACAGGTGAATGTGGTAAATGTCATTTATTTGTCGTATCAGAACACGCCCAAATGGACAACGGTGCTGAGACTAAACATGACGGATTCGACCGAGATCTCTTCCGACTGCATCGGTAGCAAAAAGGACCGTGATACAAATGCCCAACTTGGATAACTAAGCATCATCACACTGCACTCGCTTCCGGGTGCGCACCTCCGGCATTCCACAGGCCGTTCCGCTAGGGTGTGCAGGAATTGATAACGTCATAAGTCGCCGGGCAGAGGAATCCTTGCTTGACTGGATACCCACTGATGGTCGCCTCTGAGAGGTTCGTCTGACAAAGTCTGTCAAGAAGTAACACATGTGAGAAGTTGTTCTGTGTCTGTTTGTCATGTCGACTTACGCCCCAAATGACTAAAGCTCTGACACCATCAAAGACAAGTCTTACGAAGCCCTGGATGCACTGTTGCGGTGAGCTAAAAGCTCAGATATCCTTGTGACTACCAAAGATCTGAATGCACAAATGGGCAGGCTTAGCGCATCTGAGACTCAATCAGGTGGTCGACATCAACCGGACTCGGTACGTATGGACAATTGTTTCAGCTAAGTGCTGACCGCAAGCCGTTTTTCTGCAGTACTCATTTCCGAAATAGACAAAGTCATCTGACCCGCTGATCGCGAACTCAAATCGATGACAATGCCATCAGTTACCGAAGGCGCGGATCAATAACTGACTGCCGGTCGTTATCGCTTGGAAACTGAGAGTCCAATCACGCATTCGTTCGGAGTCGCTTCCTCCTCCATTTTCCAGGACCGCGTAAGGTGCGGAAAAATCGCTTGGAAACTGAGAGATCGCCACATCCGGATATTAGACGAATTTACCAGATTTGTATTCTAGGGTTTCTTATAACTGTGTCACCATCAGATATAAATTCATGGAACGAGATCGCCACCTTGTTGCACATTGCTGGGAGTATTTCCCGTGGAACGGCGCTACCAGGCTCACTCAAGCAAAAATATATCAGACCGAACGGCGGCACTGCTCAAATCTCGGAAATATCCCAGCGGATCCCGAACACAGCTTAACCTGATGAATCATCGGACGTCAAGTGAAAGTGAGCGTGCGGGCCGACCGTGAAGTCTGGTGGACACGAAAAGCTAAGGAAATGGAAGAGGCCCAGAAACCCGGTAAAGCCCGAAGACTATTTCAATTGATCTGCGCGACCGGACCCCGAAAATCTACTGTCAACGGAATTGTCAGGGATCAGTACTGAGTGTGGCAACCACAGGGATATCCGCTTAACCCCGGTTGTAAAGAGACTACTAGCGTTACTTGTGCTTTGTCGCCTCATGGTGGCTCGTGAAACACTGACTCGAGAGCAGTAAGCGGGGTTCCGGCCTGGTAGGGGTTGCGTTGACCAAATCTTCACATTTCGTCAGGTGCCAGAAAAACGCCATTTGTACAAACGACCCTCAAATTTAGTACTCTTGAGTTTCCAAGATGCACTCCACTCGGTTGGCCGGTTTGTTCCCCTTGACACACTCGCCAATCAAGGAATACTATGAAAGTTTAGGAACCTTGCAAGTTCTTTGTATTCTCAGACCTCCTGGTGTGTGAGTAAACGAAGAGCTCCCTAAAAGCACTCGTGAAAAAATCGGCGTCCATCAGAGGTGCCCAGTCTCCCCGTTTCTATTCAATTAATTGATCGACGAAACGAAGAGACATCTCGAGTTCTATTCGTTGAATACGGCGGGGCGGATAAACAAAAACGTGTGACTAATGGCATATTCCATCTTTCTTCAATGTTGTCTTCTCTCGTCCAGTCTTACTTGACAATCATTATTACGAGGATCCCAGCTGTGAGCATGTGAGCTAGGCACCCATAGAACTGTTGGTAATGTGAGGAGTTTATGGATTCTTAATTGAGATTCAGTTCTGTAAATGAAGCTAATGTATTATGAAAAAGCAGGATAGCACTACACATCTGAACTCTTATTGAGGACCATCAGCGGTGCGCATCTCACGAAACTCTAGGAAGTTTGTGGTAAACGTGTAGCGACCCAGTCACCCACATACTTGACTGTTCAACTCACAGTCGCTCACTGGATCGCGAGGCTTGTCTTTATTCTCATACGCACAAACACGTCGCATTAAGCTGACTCGTCGGACATCGATTGTCTGCGCCGCCTAGTCAGCGTAGCAACCACTCACGTGCCGACGCGCCCACGTATACGCACTGGGACCTACATGAAGGGAGCCGAACCCAGTCAGGACACAGACTCGCGCGCGCGCAGGGAGCAAGGAGTCAGCCCAAGCACTCCAAGTCCACGGACAATCATGGAACACGTGTAGCAGCCAAACTGCGGAGAAAACACGTTACCGCCGTCCGGACTTTCACCAAGGAACTCTCACATACGATAAGTTCCTCTTTGACATACTCCCATTTCGCATTGTATTTATTTTTATACGCGTTGCAAGCCTCCACTGTCCACCATGCTAAAAACTTCTATTAGTGCACATACACCTTCTGATTTGTATTATGGCTATCACCACCTGTGCACTAATAAACGCTTCTCAGCACACAACTGAAGCAGTAGCTCCCCAGTATGCATAAGCAGAGCATTGACTCCGACTACACTGAGCAACTGCGTTTCTTCCGACCAACAAGTTAAACAAGTTTACCAAAGAGGTTCATGTAGTCCTAAAAGCGGGATCTCCAGCAGTGCAACGGTGGCGGGAAAAGAAAAGTCGTACTGAGCCCAAGGAATATTCGAGGTGTTACAGCTTCTTAGTGCAAGAGGGTATACTCCTTTCAATGCCTTGCATAAATCAGCTGGGTCTGTTAGCCGTCAACTCAAGCGTAGCCAGCGTGTACATAAGGAAACCTGTTAAGACTATAAGGCCATGAAAACCGAGGCTAGTACACCTTGGAATGGTCGAAAACTTTACCGGCGATATGAAAGTCCCCAATAAGCCAGTAGTAAAGGAACTCACCATAAAAGAACAAGCGCCTTGATTTCTGGAAGAATAAATTAAACGCTTAGGGCCTACAGCGCCTTCGTAAGTCTTTTATTTGGTCCGCTCAAATCCAGTTCTCTTCCCCCTCTCAAAGTTATCAAAGTACCAATATGACCTCTAGTTTTGGAACGCCATGAGAAACTATGTTGCACAGCGAACAGGCATTCTCACAATTAATTAGGATAGTGGGGTCTGCGCCTCCTACTGTGCGTTTTGGAACTTCACAATGCAACGCACTACGTCAGTTTCCAGCCCTCTTGAATTCTCTTGGAAGTTCGGAACAGTGGGTTTGAGTTCGTCGAGTTTCTGGCAGCTGTACAAGCCACGACTGAATCGTGACAGACGAAGCACATGCTTTAGTCCCCAGACGAGCATTTCACAACCTAATTGACAACGCAACATCCTGAACCTTATGGATGATGCGAGAAGTAACCTGAAGAAGATCATAATCTGTGTATCATTCCAGTTACCACTCCAGGCTGCCAAGGTAATTGATCAGACTTTATGTGCAATCTTTTGTGGATGAAATCCAACGGCGCCTATGTGCCTATGAAGCAGCTAAATGACAGCAAGACTCTATGTTCAAATCGTACTTTTACCGTGCATGTACAGTGAATAAGGCGTCTAGAACGTCGCCAATGTTTCAGTAGGAATACACGTACTTTGTACAGACATTCCTCAGAGGGCGCAAAATATTGGACCCGCCTTAGCGCACCGTCCGGATGTGAGGTATATCACTGGGTACTAAGAGTTGTGTGTACCACGCTACAGTAAATGGTGTTGTTGCGTGGTTGCGAGACATGGCTTCTGTGGACAGATTATGTGGACAGTCTTCAAGTTTCTTACCAACAGGCTCGTGAAGGAGAGACTAATAAAACAACATAAACGAAGCCTATGGGAGTTTCGCTACCGAACAAAAGAAAGCAAAAAGGAAAATGATGAGTAAGTCACTGATCCAGCCTCAGTGTAATTTGACCTGGATTATGTACAGATCTCGCTTGCTGCGAAGGTCCACGATGACGTTTTGAAGCCCAGAGCCTCACATACCAGTGGGTGGCTGAAATGTCCAAGATCAGGCACACAGCTGCATGTGGATGAGCAAACCGGCTTTACGTGTAACGGCGCATGTGTGGAAGGTCGGGATTACAACGAAAACTTTCTGCTTAGCATTCAAAATCGAACACAAAAAAATTGTTCACCTGTAGGACCCTTTCGGTGTTTAACTGCCATGCCACCCGAAGGAAGCACCGAATACAAACAACATTCCACTACCTACTCTTGTAAAGTTCTCTCTTATTTACGTCTTTCCTATTACAATTCTAATAAACGACGAATCCCAGGATATCACACTCAAGTGGTTACGAAATCAGTATATTAACCCTAAGGATTACACGCTACGTGGCTTTTGAGACAAGGATGAATACTAAATCGGAATAGTCCGCGGAACGAGAACACAATATCTAGACAACTGTACTTTCTAGTGTATCTATATCTAGTTCTGCAAGGAAAACAACGACAGGCTGGTATGTTGGTATGACAAAATACGACTCACAAAACACGACAAAACACGGCGGAAGAAAGGCGTCAATAGGGGAGGTATATATGTTCGAACGTCCAACGGGCAATTCAGAATGACCATACAGAGTTCATGAGTATCCCGTGGATACCTCACAAAAGAAAAAATCGTTCAGCTATGCCTAGCTGCCATGCCACCCGAAGGAAGCAGAGGGCTAGAATACTGTCAGGTTGCCCAAGCCTAGACAGGGGAAGTCGAGAGACAGAGGTCGGGTCTCGACCACGAACCTTCCGGTCAGTAAACTCGCGCTATAACCACTTGAGCCACCTCACCCCATCTCACGAAAGAGACCGAACATTTCGTGACACAAGAATCACTATGGACCTCTGAGTTATTGCAGTTCGAGTAAATGGTAATCAAATCCGGTGGAAAACATACCTTACTTACCTTAACGTCTAGGTGCACAATACTGCGCTCGTGTAGGAAGTCCAAAGCCTCCAAGCTCTGTTGAACGGCTGATTTTACAAAGGCAACAGAAGGATTGATTTCAAAGTAATGAGTCATGGAATAGAGGTCCCCACCGCAGGCACTAAAGGTTAGAGGTAATTAAATGACGTACTGTTCCAGTATTATGACAAAATCGGTGGCTCTAACATAGTACTCATTCATACTAACAATTCGTCGGGATAGTTTGCCACGCTCAATGATGTCAAGCTCACGCATCAGGGTTTCCATAGTATCTTTTCCGTTTCTCCAACGTCTTATTATTTTTGCTGCAAAGGTTTCACCACTTCTTTTGTGTCTAACTTGACAGACACGAGCGAAGCGTCCTCTGAAATTTTGTCCCATGGGGATCTGTTAGACGTACCTTCCGATCTCAGAAAGCAAATCATATTCATCAGAAAAACTGTCCCTGCAACTTGCACTCAGTTCAGACTGCCTCACGACCCCCAACGAACTTGGAGATTGCTGCCGAAACGTAATCATGACTACACTAAACAGCCAAAACAAATTTAGAAAGTAGTCATGACCTTGAGATAAGCCAGACCCAGCTGGCAGCTGAGTCAGTAGCTTCCATCAGTTCGCCCCCTGATGAAAGTCGTCACCTCACAGACTCACTGATTCTCAGGTATGCAGAATGAGCATTCGTTTCTGACAATCCCAACTTGAGGTGGTATCGCAAGGTTAAGTTGGGTAATCCTTTGCGCTCTTTTCGAATGCGACAGCCTGACGTTCGAGTAGCTGAGCTACAATGGAGGTAACATATCCGTTTGTTTGACCATTAGCTGAAACCTCATAGAAGATGCATTCATGAGTGCATATTCCTGCGTGATTGTGGCAAGGCCGAGTCATCACGCAAGCAGACAAATATCAGTGAATGTCTAGGTTAAACACAAGTGAAAAGTAACTACGAGCAGACGTGACCGGCAAAATGGACGAAATAACTACGCAGTGGAGTATTACAGATTGTCCTTTGTTACCTCAAAAGGGCGACTGCGAAATTGGGTAATAGACATGCAGCAAGAGGTTCGTTTACACGCCGTCTCACTTTACACTGAGTCTGAGCTCAGTGGTGGCAACTGCTTCTGGCACCACAGTTAGGGTGCTAACTTGATCCAGTGGCTGGTTGCTCTACTGGAGAAAGATTATATCAGGCTGGTCTTCCTCTAGGCCTAATATGTGCGCAATTCCTATACTAATAATAAGTTTATTGGCTGATATAACTGGAGGCCAATTAGAATCCTAATTCTGCACATTCGCTTGCGGAGAGGGTTTGGTTCATTCAGGCGGCCTTGAATAGATAAAACTATCTTGTGAAATAGCAGTGTAATTTGGCCGGCAGACTCATGCTAATCACGAAGCAACCCGCGGGGCCTGCACCTATTACACCAAATTTGCCTAAGCGAATGTTTACTAAGTCCCTGAGGAGATAAATGTTCTTAAGACCGAGAAATACTTGAAATGGATAAAGGATATTTTGGCCACTTTGTTGACGCCACTTACCATGCAATATGGTTTAAATTCTGGTTGGATATTATTGTGGTGAACATTTTATCTGAATTGGCTCAGTGTAAATTCAACTGCACGGGAGGTGGAGGATTATTTGGAACGCTTCAGCACTTGGTGTCTTACCAAATCGGATCGGATCAATAAAAAGGAGACAGCTTATTTCTTGCACTACATTGGGAAGGATGCTTATGCTCCTGTGAAGAATTTATTATTCCCCACAGCGCCGATCGATTGCACATTCGATGTTCTAAAGAAGTTAATGCCCTGTCATTTTAAGCCTATCAATTTTGTGGCCGCAGAACGAGAGAAATTCAGTTCGCTTATTCGATCCGAATCTCAGAGTATTCGTGATTTTGTCCTCCAACTGCAAACACAGGCTGCAAAATGTGACTACGGCCAACAACTTGAAAGCCAACTGAGTAATCGCCTCATTGCCGGAATTAATCTTCCAGATCTACAACAAAAGCTCCTAGTACAGACTGATCAACGCTTCATATCGATCAGAAAAATTTGCGAGCAATACCAGGATGTTAAAGAAGTAACCAAATGCAACGAGACCGTTTTATTTAATGCACTAAAGTCGAAAGGGCTGGAAGGTCGCCCACACGGTAAATTTGAAACCAATATGCGTTATCATAACAAAAACAACCAACTGAATTCGAACATTCAAAATCGTCAAATACGCCAACCAAAAAAAGTTCTTGGCAAATGTGCTTCGTGTGGACAGGACCACTCCAGATATACTTGCATACATCGCCAATCAAAATGTTTTTCATGTGGTAAGATTGGGCATATTCAGAATGTATGTAAGTCCAAAAGAGTTTGTAGACTGACTGTCGACTCAAATTCTGATATCAAGCCTTTGACTGATAACATCTCATCCATGTCTTTATCTGTTTTATCGAATTCTATGCATGTGTCGAAGACGCTCATATCAGGCTCTGGTAAAAAGCATAGTTTTATCATTGATACTGGCAGCGTCGAATCCATTATTCCTGAGTCAGATCTTATAGCATTTTATCCTACTGCTGTTTTAAAACCGACACAATTATCTGTTAGAGGTATCACTGGACATGCTTTACCGCTTCTTGGTTCATGTACTATACCAGTCAAAGTTTCCAGTGGTAACTTTGTTGATTGTAATTTTCTTGTATCGAATTCTGGTCCTTCAATAATTGGTCTCAAAGTTTTACGTGCGCTTAACGTTAACATTTCACTACTTACTTCAAATTTCAACGAAACCGAATTGAAACAACTGATCACGAGCTGCTCCAAAGTCACCGGAGGAATGCGCATACCAAAAGTGAAACTCGAGGTTTCTGGTGATCCGATTTTCCTCAAACGACGTATAGTACCTTTTGGTTTGCGTGAACCAGTGCGTCTAGCTCTAGATTCATTGTGCCAAAAAGGTATTCTGACACCTGTCGAGTCTTCCAAATGGGCTACGCCGATTGTTACGCCATTAAAGTCTGATGGTAAAACTGTTAGAATTTGTGGCGATTATCGATTGACACTCAACAAAAGCCTACTTCAACGCTCGTGTGCTACAGAAGAACCTGAAGATGTGTTGTATCGTCTAGCGGGATCAAAAATCTTTTCAAAAATAGACTTGAAGGATGCATACTTGCAGATACCACTTGATGATGCTACTAGTGAATGCACAGTCATCAATACACCATTTGGATTATATCGGTATAATTTCTTGCCATTCGGACTTAATGTCTCTCCTGCTGTATTTCAAGATGTGATTAATTCAATTACTGACGGTCTTGAAGGTGTTGTAACTTATCAAGATGACGTGATAGTTCATGCTGTCGATAAGGTTACGCACGATTCACGCTTGCTTGCATTATTCAAAAGATTTCATGACTTAAATGTTGCCGTTAATTCTTCGAAATGTGCATTTTCTGTTTACAAACTATCATGTTTAGGCTACACTGTTGATGGAAATGGTTTTTCTCCTGATAATGAACGTTTATCGCCTTTAGTCAATGCTCCATCCCCTTCTAATCTGTCCGAACTTCGTTCCATACTTGGTGCATTGCAATATTATTCCCGATTCATACCTAACTTTTCTCAGAAAGCTTATTGTCTATTTGAACTGTTATCTCTGAAAACATTTTCATGGATATCTGAGCATGAGAAAACTTTGCGTTCTTTACTCAATTATCTTAAATCTGACGCTATTTTGAAACCATTTTCTGCGAAAGATCATTCAACCGTTATAACTGATGCGTCTCCAACTGGATTAGGTGTTATTCTCGAACAAAATGGCCGTCCTGTCATTTGTGCATCCCGTCGACTAACACAAGCCGAACAGGGCTATTCTCAAACACAGCGTGAAGCTCTTGCTGTCTACTGGGGTGTAAGTAGACTACACAAGTATCTTTTTGGTAAACCATTCACGATTGTGACCGATCATGAAGCCTTGAAATTCATATACCATCCTATGAAATCATTGGCTAAGTCATCCGCAGCCATGGTTCAACGTTGGAGCATCGCTCTCAGTTCGTATACATATGACATTATTCATCGTGGTGCTAAATCCATTCAGCACGTCGATTATCTATCCAGAGTTCCAGAAAGTTTATCACAATCTAATGTTTCTGATTGTTTGTTAGTACAACCGCTTCCGATTAAACGAGACGAGCTTGTGCGTGATACCCGAAAATACTTTTCATCCGTTATCTCTGCATTAAGACGAGGATGGACGCACCAAGAACGTCGTCGATTTCCCGCATTTTATGCTCGTCGAGACAGTTTAGCATTGACACCTGATGGATTGTTGTGTTATAACGATCGTGTCGTGATTCCACCAACACACAGAAGTGCCATTTTATCCGATTTGCATTCCGGACATTTAGGCATCGACAAAATGAAGTCTCTTGCCAGACTTACTTGTTGGTGGCCAGAGTTGGATGCAGACATTGCGCGTACGGCTAAGGATTGTATGAATTGTACACACAAAATTCATTCCAAACCATCCAAATGGATTCCTTGGCCATTGTCCTGTGAAACATGGCAACGTATTCATGCAGATTATTGCGGTCCATTTTTGAACAAGTCTTGCGCACTGGTGGTTGTAGATTCCTATTTACGCTGGGCGGAAGTATTTCTCACGACATCCCCGAGTTCTGAGTTTACTCAGTATGCTTTGAGGAAACTATTTAGTCGTGAAGGTGTGCCAATTGTTTTGGTCACTGATAACGGCTCCCACTTTACAGCGAAATCTCTCGAATATTGGTTAAAAGGACTTGGTTGTCGTCATTTATTTACTGCTCCCCGTCATCCACAGTCTAATGGACTTGCTGAAAATTTTGTTCGAACTTTGAAATCTGCCATCAATTCTATTTCCCCTGTTACTTTCTATGATCTTGATCAAGGTATTGATAATTTCTTGATGCAGTACAGGAATGCTGCCCATTCAATTACTGGTAAGAGTCCAGCAGAGCTATTCAAATCGAGATCTCTACGCACGAACCTGGAATGCATTGGGACTGCCGACGTAACATTTTTCAAAGGTAACTATCTACTTCCATCTAGTTGTGTTGATATTGGGAGGGACGGGAATTGTATGGTCACGGTTCATGACCTCGAAGATCTCTCAAGTCACAGACGGCATGTTACTCAGGTCGAATTCAATGCTAGAGGTCGGTTTGGTGACAATACGTCTGTTGCTTCAAACACTAATGACCTTTCTGATGACCTTTCAGATGATTCTGATG